CTTCAGCGCGTTTTGGCATTTCCCCGCTTTTGTCTTTTTTCCCCCTGCTTTTGTTAGAAAAACCCACACGAGGTGTTTAAACAATACAGTGCAGCGGTCGCGCCGTGCTCTGCATGGTCGGTCCGGGGATTTGGGATGGCATAAAGAGCAGTGCCGCTGTGACTCAAGAGTGAATCTTTCTTCCAGCAAGTTGCCTGACTGTTCAGCAGTCTCTGTGCATGTATCTTAAAATACTTCCTTTAAACGTTTGGAATCCACGAGGAAATTTCCTTGCATTATTGTTACTGCGCATCATTCAGCTGGTTTGCAGCTTTGAAATCAAGGGGACACTTCTATTGTCCTCCTCACCTAACGCTTTGTTTTCGTTAAAAAAAGAGCCAAAGATAGAGTTGAACGTGTTCGTATTAGAGTGAAATGGTTTGTTAAGTTTTAAATGGCTTTGAGCACACGAATGGGCCCGTTGGCGTGAGCCGGACAAAGAATCGGGACCGGGACGTGTGTCCAGGAGCACCGGGCACGGCACGGGGATTTCAGAGAATCCAGCCTTTGTGTAGGGAGCCAGAGCAGCTCGGGTGGTTTCAGGAACTCTCTTCTACTCGGGTTTGTTTTTAAGTGCAGTTTGCTGACTGCTGGGCCGGCTTTGGAAGGTCAGAACAATGTGCAGCAGTGTGACAGGACTTTTGTTCTAGCTGGAGCGTGGTTGGATGTGTGGGACTTGTTCTGTCTGTAGGTATTTCATTCATGAGCTCTGCACGCTCCCTTTGAATCCTGGTTTGTGGAATTCAGAGAGGAGTAGAGACAGAAGCTTGGCCATTCAACAAAATACCTAATTTATTTATTTTTTTCTTGGCAAGGACTCTCTGCCATCATGCCAGTTGCTATGGCTCTTTCTGTAAAACAGAAATCTTAAGGTATAAATAGATTTCTCTACATTTTAACCTTCACGATAGACAATTGCTGTAGAGGGTTCCTGTAAGTCATTCAGTGTTTCTGTTGATTATTGTCAGAAGTATCAATATGACTTTTTGTGCGTGCACCTCACAAGTATTTACATAAAGCAAATTTCTTATTTTTAAAGGAATCATAATTTGCAGTTGAATCTCATGGTTACCCCCCCTCCACCTGCAGTCAAATACAGCGGGAAATTAGCTAGAGAGATTCTGTGTTTTGTGGTTTCAGTGTTTTGAGAAGACTTGGCTTGTTAAATTGAACTTTCCACACTAGCAATTCCTGCATCTTCAGAAGAGCCACATCGGCAATTTCCAAGTGTGCAGTTTCATTTGCATAATAGGAGCAATTTGTTGCCATCCACAGCTCTTCTGTGGAAATGCAGCCACTGAAAATTAAAATACCTTGCGTCCAGCATTTCCTAGAAGAGAGTTTTGTGAGACTTGTGTGCTCAGAGCAGTGTGTGCCAGGGATGGGCAGGGAGACAGACGGGGCTGGGAACTCATCCGAGCGGAGGATGGCTTTATCCAAGGCATCGTCCACCTGTGCAGGTGTGCAGCACCTCGCTGTGCTTGGTGCTCCTGAATCCCTGTGCTGCCACAGGGATGTGAACGTGCCTGCTGGAGGGCAGCTTCCATCAGGGCAGACTTTGTTCCTCAGAAAATCAGTGTTCCTGGACAGCCAGCACTTGGATGCAGCTCCTCTGTCTTCCTGTCTGCTCACAGAGCACGTGGCACTTCTGGTTATTGCTGGAACTTAGTAGTAAACAGTGAAGTTGTTATGTTTTTATCGTGAGATTACTGTAACCTTATCTCCTTTGTTTAAACCACGCTCATGAATGAGCATCTGTTTTGGAAAACACGCAGCACGTGGCTTACAGAATACATGGTTGCCTTGTGTTTGTGTGGCAGAAATGTTAAATTTCCACAGTAAGTGAACAGTTCTACCTTTCTTTACCAGTACTTAAAATTCTTCTGTCAGTCTGTTTTAAAAAATCCTCTGAGATTACTTTGTCTCAATTAATGGTACAGGATTGTTTTTTTGGCTTTAAAAGTTGATGGGTATATGTAGATTCCAAGTGGGCTCTCAAGAAGAGAGGGACAAAAACTATTGTGCCCTCAACCAGTACTAGAAAAATACTGAAGACACTCTTGTTTTTTTGTCAAAGTCTGATTTATTAAATGGGGGGAAATACAGACATCTGCTGAGAGACAAGGAATGAGAAGGAGGAAAGTGTAAGTGGTAGGATGTCTTGGGAGGCAGTGAAGTAATTTGTATGGGTATATAGCACTGCTGGACTTTAGGACAGCTGTGCAAACATGTAAGGATGGAGGTCTGGAATAGCTGGTGGGGATAGGTAAGCCTGACTCTGGAGAATGCACCAGGAATCAGAAATCCCACTGTGTTCCCTTCCCTTTGAATTGCAGTATTTCTCAGGAGTCCTTTGACCTTTTTCTGACCCATCAAAGCCCTGATCTGTGGGGAGTGATAACACCT